TGTAACTTCATAATTTATTAAAAACATGTTTACAATAGAGATTAGCTGAAGAGCAAAGATTACTTTCAAAGATTACTTTTCATAAATTATTAAAAAAAATTGAAACTTTCACAAGTATATTATTACAGTTAATATAAATTTATGAAAATATGTTGGTTAAAATTAACAATAGATTCTATGATTCATACATAGTAGGTCAGATTTTTTATTAACTGTTAATGAGCAATGGGATACGTACGCATAGATCATGTAAATTAGTAAATTAGCGTTATACAATTTCATTTCAAATTTAGGCGCCCGTTTTGTTATTACGTAGCGTATAGTTATTAGACATTGGCCCGTCATTTTAATGACTAGGTATATCAATTCCCGGTTCATGTGAATCGAGATAAAATGAAGCATCTAAAAATTTGTATATCGATATGTAGTAGATTATAAAATAACGATAAATCATTAGAAACGTGGCTTTGTGGTTAATTTTTAGTATAGTCTTAAAAAGGAATCTCATTTCTTGATCGATATTATAATTCCTTTTTGGTCATGAATGTTTATATTTATATAGATTAAACAACCATGTTTTGGTCGATACTTATTTTTAGAACATCCAAATGAAAAAATTTATATTACATTGTTTAAAGATAGCGTTAGTTTAAACAACCTTCTAAATAGAACTTCCCTTAATAAATAAAAGTACATATGTTTATACGGAACTAAATTTGACCTTGTCCTACAAGAACAATTTTTTCATACTCCCTGTCCTCGTCTACAAATCTCTTTACAGTTAGAAGTATTTAGGATCACTATTATTATTTTGGCCTATTTTAATCTTTTAAGCTACTTCTTTACTGCCATTTTACGCTTAATATGACTTCTCCTACCACAAATATTACACTGCTTCCAGCGCAAGAAGCTGTAAGCGAGAAAAGTGTTACAAGTGACAATACTATTAACGATTCACGAAATAAACAATTAAAGAGAACAAAATCAAAAATAAAAAATAGAATTCCAATTTGTAAAGAACGTCAAGTATTTGTCAATATACCTATACCTGACCGTAGAGGTCAACCAAAGGGTAAATATGTCTCCAACAAGATCGTCACTTCTAAGTATAATATATGGACTTTTCTTCCAAAAAACTTGTTCGAACAATTCCGGAGGGCTGCCAACATGTATTTCTTAATCATGGCTGTTCTTGGAATGATACCTGCCATTAGCTCAAATTCCCCTGTTTTGACTTTACTTCCTCTTTCGACTGTTGTGTTTCTTACAGCATGTAAAGATGCCGTGGAAGATTTGAATCGTCATAAAATTGATGATAAATACAATAGTGCTACTTGCTATCTTTTACAAAATTTTATTAATGTAAACTATCCGGATCAGAAAAAACTTTCTCTATGGAAACGAATACTACTTAGAATAAAACTTTTTTTTAACTGGAACAAATTAAAACCTCGGGAAGGTCAGAATCCTATCAATGATGATACTCCATGTAAACCTTCAAATGAAATAAATGGTCAACCTGAATTTAAAAAAGTTATGTGGAAAGATGTTCGTGTTGGTGACTTTTTATTTCTCAAAAATGGTGATGCTGTACCTGCTGATGCCATAATTATATCAACTTCTGAGCAAAATGGTACTTGTTTCGTAGAAACTAAAGATCTTGATGGTGAAACTAATCTTAAACCTCGTAGATGTGTTTCTGCTGATGCCTTAAAACATATCACTTCTCCTGAAGAATGTTCAAAAGCTAGGTTTTGGATTGATTCTGAACCTCCAAATTCTAATCTTTTCAGCTATAATGCAAAATTAACCTTAGTCTCCGTTTCGCCCGAAATTGATCCGTTACAAGA